AGAAGCTGAGAATAGGCCAAATTCCATTACTTTAGTAAGTTTTCTTCCTATATGCACTCAATTGGGAGCTCTTAGACAGGGAAAGGAAATTCATGGTTATGCAATCAAAAGTGGTATGGGATATAATGCGTCTATTAGGAACTCTCTGATAGACATGTACAACAAATGTGGATTTCTGGAACTCGGAGTGAAGGTCTTTAAGCAGATGATGGTAAAGAATGTCATAACATATAACACTATGATCTCTGCTTGTGGAGCTCATGGACTAGGAGAAAAGGGTTTGGAATTTTATGAAGATATGAAAGTGGCAGGAATTAGACCAAATAAAGTTCCTTTTATTTCACTGTTATCCGCGTGTAGTTATGCAGGTCTAGTTGACAGAGGTTGGGTGTTGTATAATTCTATGGTTAATGATTATGGTATCGAACCAGGTATGGAGCACTACTCGTGCAAAAATTCCATGTTGTTGTTCATGTTTTAAAATCACTAAAATCTGTTTTAATTACATTATGAATTAAAACTGTTATAAAATCAGTTTCAATTTCTTGAACTCATTTAATTACATTATGAATTCATTGATCTGCATTCTATTCATTAAAAAAAAAAATTGTTATAAAATCGGTTTGTGGTTCCTAACCAGTTTTGATTTAAAATTGGTTTTGAATTAAAATTGATTTTAAACCGGTTATGAACCACAAACCGATTTGAACAAAATAAAAATCAGTTTTAAAAAAAAGTGGTACGGTTTAAAATTTAAACCGTTTAAAATTTGTTTGGTTCGATTTTTAACAATAACCAAACTGAACTGTTGTATGCACATCCCTAATTGAGATATTATAACGTTATAACGTAAAAATGATTTTTCTTTCACTCGCTAATTTCTTGTGTATCATTTTCAATGAAATGTCTTAAAATTAATTTTTAATTGAAACGTACAAGAGAGAATCATTGTAACTGTTACGTGTCTACATAATTTGTTTTAACGTTCTCGATTGAAACAGTGAGAATGCATTAGTCGTTATGATGGAATACAAACCATTAAAGCTGAACTCCCATTATCTTTAAAACAAAATTTATATTTTGCTATTTTCCATTTTCCCCCCTATGCAAACCAGCACAGTATCAGAAGGAAGAAAAACTACATCAAAATATGATAGGGTACATAAAATCCTGAACAAAAGCTGAAGTAACATATTTAAAATTCCACATGGAGGACTGTTACAACACCTACAATTAAGGCTGCAAAGACTAAATTCGAAAATCTGTTTGTATCCGTGTTAGTTTACAGGGGCTTTTCACTTAAGAAATGCAAATTTTAAAAAAATTCACCTGTTTAGTTAGTTAGTTGACCAAATATTTTATCAGATTAATGCAGTGTTTCAGATGGTTATGCGTTGTGAACCTGACACATGCGCGTTTCTGACAAATCTGAACACGTATGTATCAGGTACGTGTCTAAATACGTCTGTACCAGGTGCGCGTTTCTGATTATCACGCGACTATGTCACAGAATACGTGCCTGAATATAACGCATCTTGGTATTGTGCTCATCAAATTTGTCAAAAACACGCACCTGGTACAGACGCGTTCAGACACGTACCTGGTACAGACGTGTTCAGATTTGTCAGAACGCGCATGTGTCAGGTGCGCGACTAAACACGTAACCACCTGAAACGTGTCTTTCTGCATTAGTCCGGTAAAACATTTGGTCAACCAACTAAAAAATTGATTTGTTTTTGAAATTTGCATTTTTGTTGTTGTCAAAAACCCCTAGTTTATAGTAGATGTGATGTGTGGCGTAACTTCCCATTAATCATTCAAGCAAGCTCAATTGTTTTCTTTCTTTAATAAACAGGTATTACACAGCCAGAAAATTTCAGATGGAATTTAAACAAAATTTACTTAATTTTTTTAAAAAAAATGTCGGATGAAATAAAATAACAAAATTACCCATTAATTCACCAGATAGTTTAACATAACACGTATACTTCACCAAAAAAAGTAGTAAATATAAAACGAAAATTTGATAAAGTTGTCTTGGTAAATGAGAAATTTGTGTGATGTATTTTTATGACTCATCCTCTCTTCATCGAAAATAAAAAATATTATTTTATGTCTTTAACCAGAATATTTAAGTTTTATTATTTTGAGTTTAAACCTTCAAATACTATTCCAGCTAAAAAGACATTCCAACAGTTTTTTGTGTGTGGTTATTTAGCGCTATTTGTTTCTATTCAGTTTTAAATTTTAACTCACCAAACCGAAATACTGGATAAATTAAACTCTTTATTTTTTCTAGGAGAAAATATACACATATGTTGTTAGAAAATATTTTTATCTCTTATATACATATAGGCAAGGAAGCACGGACACTTGTAAAAACAGGAAGAGTCGGGTCCGACACGCTCCGACACGGCGACACGCTCCGACGGTGTCGGACACGCGGTTGACTTTTTCCGACACGTTGACCATTCCGACACGCGAATTTGACCGTATCCGACACGGTCAAATGGCATTTTCGTAATTTTTTTTAATTTTTTTTTAAATTTTTTTTTTAAAGTTAAAATATATTAATAAAGCTTCAACCCGATCATATCAATTTTATCTTTTTGTCTTTTTTCCCCTTAAGTAGATAAGAGATCTTCTCAGCATCTTGTTGTCAATTCCTACCACGCTCTTGTTGTATCTTCTTCTCTCTGATCTTTCTCTCTAATATGATTTGATCTCTCTATCTGATATTATATCTCTCTCATCTCAGTTCTTATTTTTTTTATTAAAGTTTTCTTCTTTATAACATGTTGATGGGTATTATTAATTTAGTTTCATTTTTTTGTTAAATTATTAAATATTAAATGAAATATACACTATATAAATTAAAAATATTATTTAATATTAAAACGTGTCCCAACGTGTCGAAATCCATAATTTTTTAGGATTGACGTATCGGAGTGTCGTGTCGTGTCGTGTCACGTGTCGCGTGTCGTATCGGTGCTACATAGCATATAGGGACGGTTATACTTACCATCAGATAAGTTTACCACCATTACAATCAATCTCATCACCGTTAGATTTGAATTAAATCTAACGGTTCATAATTATCCCTTATAATTCTAATTTTTACTTTTTCATTTCCTCTTTCTTTAAGTTTGGGATCTGCAAACCTCTCTCTAAGTCTGAGAATCCCCTCTCTTCATCATTATTGCACTTTGATATTCAGTTCCACCAAAAATATCTCACAAAAGCAAATAATCAGACATGTGAACTCATTCTTTCCATTCTTTTCTTTTTTTGCAACTGGTGCAAACCATTAACATGTGCAAACAATTAATAGTAACACTTAATGATAAAACTAGAAATTGATCATTGATCTTTGAATCGGTTCTTTTTCATACTCCTATAATTGAAAACACAAATAAAAATCAAATTTCTCCTAATCGCTGCAGGCACCAACCATGTCAAATAAAACGGAAAAGCAATAAATTAGGAACGGAAGAGATCAAAGAGGTATAAGTATTGTATAAGTTAAATATCCCATATATTATTAAAAAAAAATAAAAATCCCATATATTATTAAAAAGTTATGTAATTTTGAAATCAATAGGAGGAAAAACATGAAATGAAAAAAAAAAAAAAACGAGGATGATAAAGACAGAATGAGAGAGTTGATTCAGAGAGGTGTGCAGATCTCAAACCTTGAGAGAGAGAGAGGGGGATGGGAGATAAAAAATTAGGATTATAAAAAGATAATTATGAATCGTTAGATTTAATTTTAATCTAACAGTTAGAAGATTAATTGTAAGGGTAGTAAACTTACCTGGTAGTAAGTATAACCGTCCCCTATACATATATCAATTTCTTTGTTGCCTTTCTATTTATTTATAAATAGGTGAATTCTATATATAACTATATCTATAATATAAAAGAGCTTCTCTCTTATATATGAGGTTTGTTTTTCTCATGTTGTATAAAAAAATAAACCCTTTCTACACTCACCATAAAAAAGTGTGCTACTCATTTTTTTACTTTTTGTTTTTTTTAAATAAGTGAGTCTCACATTTGATGTATCTATGACATGAGATTAGAATTCTCCTATAACATAAGATAAGATTTATTTTTCCTTTAATAAAACAATCTTTCTAATCCAGAAAGAAAACGTCAATTGAACGACTACTTTTATGTTTTAAAGTATTTCTTTAGCGGGGTCAGCGAAACAGTCAATTTCTTTGTAGACATAAGTAAAGCAGTAGGAGTTTAATTTTGATTAATACAGCGAAAAAAATTAATAATTTAAATTTCCATTTTTTTTTTTGGTCTTTACCATGTAATTATACGTTATAAGTATTTCAATTAATAATTAACAAATAATTATATTATAATGTAAAATATGATATTGACGTACCTCCTTTGGACATTACATAGTAATATATACTACATAATAAGGCAAGGGGTGGGCTTAAAAAGCTTTCGCAGAAAGATAGGTGTGGAAATAGAGGTTATAGAAAAGTAAAGAAAGGAAATTAAAGGTGTGACCAGGTGTCGTTCGATGGGTTGTGCCGTATCAGGCATTGTCAAATTAACTCAAATTCAGAAGTCTTTTATGATAGCACGGACCTTCCAAATCATCGCTGCCATAATGATAAAAACTCCATTCGGGAATCATACCATACACGTGGCGCGTTGGCTTAGCTTACTTAACATCAAAACGCACAAGGACTGAGATCGTGGCAATCGGGAACGCCGCACCATCATTCTCAATGTGTGTGCGGTGTAGGTTGAGTAAAATCACGGGTGCGGATGAATGCTACGTGTTAAGGTGTTGATGTGTGATTTGTGGATGCACAGGATGTAATGATGTGGAAAGAATAAGGTTCTGCTTCTAATGAATATAAGTGTCGGGAGGGTGAGTACGAGAGAGAGGTCTTCCACTATTCTTGTGGTGCTTTCATCTCTATACTCGTACATATATAGAGAGAGAGGGAGAGATAGAGAGAGAGAGAGTGACGAGGACGGAGATGAAGGATGGAACTCAAGCTATGGTGAATGATAATGGTCACTTTGGGGAAGTCTCAAGCTCTAGGTTCTCGCAACTGCTTGCTTCCAAAGATCGTGATTTTCTTCTTTCTCCGACAGGGGCTCAGGTTCTCTATCTCTTTCTCACCATTCTTTCCCCACCTCTCTCTCTAGTTTTTGTCAGGGTCAATCTGAGCGTCCATCGGGTAATAGCATGCTCCTACAGTTGTTCTACTTCTATCATTTAGTTCAAGTTTTTTTCTGAGATGGTGGTGGTGGCTGGTCAGTTCCTTCCCCCTCTTTCATCTCTTATATCTTTAGATCTTTATATATATGGTTTAATTGTGTGAAGTATGCTCTATACATATTGGCTAGACTTGCTAATGACCATCCAACTTTTGTACTTAGCCGGAAAACAGCTAGAGTTTCCTAAGAAATTAAATGATATTATTACCCAAGAAAATAATTTCTTGCAATATATGATTATATGTAAATCGTAGTTTGTTTAATTCTCCTCCAGCTTTTCTTTATTTCCAGCTCTTTGCTGAGGCTTCTGGTGTAGTTTTGGTTAGGAGATAGTCTTGCAATTTTTTAGTATTATAAAAATAAATAAAAAATTGTTTGGTGGGTTGCTGCCATAGATGCCGGTGGTTGGTGACCTTATTATGTTCAACAATATCGTTTAGTAAATACGAAAAAATGATGTATTGACTTTAGATTCTTAAATTTCTTCATATTCATGTATTTTTTTAGCCAGAGAATATATTTAGCTAGTGTTGCTCATTATGTTTGTCAGTTATTTTCCCGGAGATTTTTGGTACAAGTTTATAGATTTAGTAGTATATATACTTCATAAATATACTATAAGCATTTGCAACCCGAAAATTATGATGAGGATTGAAGCTAGCTCTAGGAAGAGTCTATGAAGTCTCAATCTTCCGCCTAAAAAATTAAGTTCTAGGGTTTAAAAACAATTATCAATTTAACCTTTTTTAATGGATTCAACTCCCCAATTTGAAAAAATCTAGCTCTGATTTTGATCTCTGGTCAATTTAAAAAAGGATATAGAATATATTATATTATATGCTTTAATATTTAAATCAGGTAAAGTTCATTTCCTCTATAGTTTATGAACCAGTAGAGGAGCCTTTATACAGTGGATTGCATTCTATTTTTCTTTACTCTTTACTTCTAGGGAACTATCCTGACTTATTCACGAATCACCTCTAGTCCTGAAATTAATTGCTAAATGCTATCTTTAGACACTTTGATTGTTCAAAGCAATTTTGCTTATTTTAATGATGATATTGTTAAGCTATGGAGTTGCTTAATTACTTAGATAATAGATGCCAAGAGCATTCACGAGCTACACATGCCAAACTTTTGTAGTCCCTTTCAGTAGGTGATGGTACTTTAGATGTCGTGGAGGACCAAGCATCCCAAGCGAAGGACATGTGTCACGTAAACCGTTCCTTTAGCCTAGTTCCTAGCAATTACGCTATGCGTTGTACACGTGCCCCATTATCACCTACAAACAGTGGGCCATTCCGCTGGCCCGTCCCTTTCGTAATTTCTGATAGGACTGGATTCTCTTCTGTTCATAGTACCCCTACTACTTCTATATAATTATTTCCTCCTTTGTCGGTGATTCAAGCTGTTTAATCTCTTTAAGTATTTCAATTTAGACGTATTTTCGTTTAAAGGGATCAAGGATTATCAGATATCTTTTTTCTTTCACAAATGTGTAAAGAATTAATTTAGTCCATTGAGATTTTTTTTTGAAAAGATGACATTTGGATTCCTCAACATCTCTTCTTTAAATGTAAATCTTAGGCCTACATTCTTTGTTTTGATACCATTTAAAGAACCAATTTTGTAACAGTGCAGGCTCCTTTGCTCTAGTGGTCTTAACTTTAATTTTTATTTTATTTTATCTTTCACTTTATGAAGCCGCCATTATTATTGTGCAATACACCACTGGCAATGTCATTTCTAGATAGACGTAAAAAAAATAAAATTCTAAGGATTGTAACCACCAATAAATGTGGTAAGAATTGGAGCGTCTTAAGGTAATTATTGATATTCTGTTAACTTTTTATAGATGCTGTGTGGTTGCAGGTGAAAGTTTCAGATCTTGAAGGGAAAGTAGTGGGTCTCTTATTCGCTGCCAACTGGTACACACCATGCCGTGGATTCACCCAAATGCTAGTTGGTATCTACGAGGAGCTGAAAAGCAGTGTCCCTCAATTTGAGGTTGTCTATGTTTCATCTGATGAGGACTTGGATGCATTTAATAGCTTCTATGGAAACATGCCGTGGCTTGCAATTCCGTTTTCTGATTTGGAAACAAAGAAAGCCTTGAACAAAATGTATGACGTGGAAGGTATTCCATGCTTGATTATGTTGCAACCTGACGACAGTAAAGAGGACGCAACACTTTTTGAAGGGGTTGAACTTATTTATCGCTATGGAATCCAAGCTTATCCGTTTAGCAAGGTGAGGTTGGAGCAGCTGCAAGAGGAAGAGAGAGAGAAGCGTGAAAACCAGACACTCACTAACTTACTAGCTAACCGCCAAAGAGACTATGTTTTGAGTAACGCGGAACTCAAACAGGCAAGTCTCTCCATCTCACTCGTTTGCATGGTACTGTTTTCCTGGATTTGTTAATTATTACAAAATAAGAAAAATGCAATTAATCATTAATTTACAAATCAATTATATAAAATGAGAGTTTTTTTTTTTTTTTTGGTCTAGAGATCTTCTCTAATTTTTTTATCAGATAATAACTGTTTTATATAGTAAAATTTGGTTTAAGCATAACTTGGTCATTCTTGCTTCAAAAAGAGAAAACTACAAGATTGGAAAATTAAGTAAAAATAATTTTTCAATTTTAGCCTTCAACTCTATTGACTTTTAAGCTATTCATAAATAACCAGGGAACCAGCTATTAACTAGGAATACCTTCAACATGGCAAGCGACTAAATGGGATAATCTAAACCAAGTAGCTCAAGTGGATCTAACATCAAGTATTATCTTAAAATCTTAAGGCCATAAGTTATGGTGCTTTCATTTACATGATTTTCACTTAGTCCATTATTAATCAATAAGAGATTTTATCACACTTAAATATCGGATCACAACAATCTTACATCTACCTAGAAACTTTTATCGTTTAGTTGGCAAGTGTAATTTTCGTTTAACAAACGAGTGTTGCTCTTGTACAGGTACCTGTTGCTTCTTTACTGGGCAAAACTATTGGACTCTACTTCTCAGCGGAATGGGGCGTACCATGCGCGAACTTCACTCCCAAACTGATTTCCGTTTATCAGAAGATCAAGCAGGAGCTAGCTCAAAAAGGAGAGGAAGACTTTGAAATTGTTCTGGTTTCCAGCGACCGTGACCAAGCATCTTTTGACTCCTACTACAGTACCATGCCTTGGTTAGCATTGCCTTTTGGAGACCCAGAGATCAAGAAACTTGCTAGGCACTTTCATGTGCAAGGGATTCCTTGCTTGGTAATTATAGGCCCTGATGGTAAAACAATAACCCCACACGGAAGGTATTTAATAAACTTGTATCAAGAAAATGCATACCCTTTCACTGATGCCAAGGTGGAACTGCTGGAGAAACAACTTGAAGAAGAGGCTAAGGACCTTCCAACATTGGTGTATCATGAGGGGCATCGCCACGACCTGAATTTGGTGTCAGATGGTAATGGAGGAGGGCCCTTCATATGCTGTGTCTGTGAGGAACAAGGGTCCAACTGGGCCTACCAATGTCTCCAATGTGGCTATGAAGTGCACCCAAGGTGCGTCACAACTGTGGATCGTGAAAATGTCTTGGCGGGCAGGTGACACCCCCTCACTGCTTATATTATAAAACTGCTTATAGGAATTTAATTGAATTTCATTTGGCCAAGAGGGCGAAACCTTGACTTGTATATCCTAATCAAGACCAGGGATTGGAATTCCCTCTAGAATTAATTAGGTTACATATCTTGTTGGGTGGCTTTTCTAGTTGTTGCTAATATATGACTACAAGAAAAGAAGAGTGACAAATGGAAAGGAGATGAAGAACTTACTTGTGAGCTCCAATATTATAATGGGTGGAAATTTGATAAAACCAATTAAAGAACGCGATTTGAATGTAGAATTGATCATAATTGATTTTCTGTCGATAAATAGCCTTTCGTTGTTTTTTGGGTGTTAATGTTATTGATATTTTTTTGATATTGCGTTAAACACTTTATGGATTTCGAACAACCGCCTTAAAATAAATAAATAAATAAATAATTCAAACAATTATAGCGGCAAACTCGGTGCAAAACTTTGATAAGTGATACGGCGCATACTTTTGAGCAACCTATCAATTATGCCGGCTTAAAAAGGGGGTGAGCTGACACGTTTTATTAAACATTAGATTATGAGTTTATGATGTTCTTTACAAGTCACTAAGAACGAAAGTATATTAAGATGAGCTTGAAGGATCTACCGTTTGTTCACCGTGACGTCCCAAAAAAATGGTTAGCAAGTACATTTGTTCGCAAAATTAAAAAAATAAAATAAAATTGTTCACCATCAACGATCACAATAGGCACCTTTTGTAATCAGTTTATTGGTTTGATCTCCTCTCTGATCGGATTTATTTCCACGACTTGTATGGAATTGTAGGGTCCATACTTAACAGTTGATGTAATCAAGTGCAGATTAAAATAATCAACTCAATATAAAAACAAGAATAGTAGCAACACAAATTGACAACATATATTATTAACGTGAAAAAATCTAAAGGTGTAAAAATACGGAATATTTATTGGAGTCTATCCAAAATTTTGACTATCACCAATGGATACATGATATATAAAGGAATTTAAATACGTCATGAAAATTAAGAAGAAAAAATGAAGAGGAAAGTAATAAAAAAAATATAGAAAAGGAAAAAACAAATTTACCGTTCTACAAGTTATAAAGTAACTTTTGAATATGAAATACTAGAGTTCACGACTTCCGTTAAACTCTAACAAAATGTAAAATTGGAGTGTTTTTGATCATTGCATCTCTTATTTAATTAAAAATTATTATTATGTCTTTGTTTTTAAATTATTTAAAAAATTTAATCTTTTTTATAAATATAATATTAATTTATCCTTATTTGACTATTACTGCACTTCATATTTGAATATACAACCAATATATTCAAGTATATTTCGTGAGTTGACGTATAATCATACGTTACGTATATTTATACTCAAATATAAACCTTGATATTCGAGTATTTAATTAGTTACTCGAGGACTCTTCCATATCCTCGAGTATCTGTCGCACTGAATTGAATGGTCTAATGACTTATCCAAGATGGGTATCCCAAAAGCAAGCGTTTTCCGTTCTAGCTCGACCAATCATATCGCGCCATTGCATCGCAAGTTCCAGAACAGCTCTCTATAACAACAACGATAAATAATAAAAAAGAGTAGCTCAAGCTCAAAATATAGCAGCAATTGGTTTTCGTGAAGTTTCTGCAAACACACATATTTGCTTTCTTTCTCATTTCTCAACCAAAATATTTCAAACAAAAACTTTAAAATAAATGTTTATCCGAACGTAAATCAACTCATTTGAGCACAGCTCTTAATGATAATAATAATTAAATTATTAATATAAAAAAGTGGTCAGTTTACACCAATTGGTTTCACAATACTCATCATTTCCCTTTTCTAAAAGCTCGAAAGATCAACAAATAAACCAAAGAAAAAAACAGTTAAAAAAAATTCCTGGCCCTGACCCTCTGCTTCGGCTGACACGTCGGAGTGTGAGATTTGAAGGACGAACGTTCAAGGTCTCCGCCGCCGGGTTGGGGTTGAGGGTCCAGGAGGAAGAAGAAGGTTTGAGCATTTGTTTAACGAACATCGTGGGACGTTAGTGGTTGAGGTGATTCATTTGGATCTGCTGTTGATTTTATTATTATTGTTGTTGTTGTGGAGAGGAATTTGAGAAGAGTTCAAGGTGTTAAGCCCTTGCATTTCTCTGCTACAAGGCTGCATGAGAGCTGATTAAGGATAAGGTTGGAAGTGTGAGGGTGCGGAAATTACAACATAGGGATTGTGGTGTTTAAACTTTGGAAAAAATATCTATACTTTTAAATTACACAACTTACATTCTTTTACGTGGGACCTACAACTTTATTTTTTTTGTCAACTCTCTCTCATCCTTTATCTATCTCTTTCTCTCTCTTAAAATGACACAATTTTACCCTCCTTTAAAATTATACACACTTTTCCCTTAAACTTTAAACATTAAAATTTAGTCAGAGAGAGAGAGAAATGGGAACACAAGTGCTACCCCCGTAGTATGTTCGAGTATTCCACCCAAATACTCAAGTAAATAATGCTTCAAAAAACTCAATATGAATTATCCTTGAGTAGTCCACATTCTACTTGAGTATATCCTGTTTTATGCAAGATATTCGAGTATAACTTTATATACTCCAATATATAATTGGGCCAATAATCAATCAGAGATATATGGGTGATATGTTTTAGTACGAAAAAAAGAGAGATATTTTTTAATTAAGTAAAAGGCGGAATGTTAAAAAAGCCTGTAAGACTGGCTACATTTCTCTTGACATGGGCAAAGCAGGAGTTATATATCACCACGATGCGCTTCTTCTTTTTCATATTGAAGGTAAAATTCTTTGGCCTGCATAACGAACTGATCTTTAAGGGCGTTGTTACGATTTGGTTAGAATCAAACCCTTCTAACTCTGTCTTTTACGACTCTTCAGCTTGATTATGACATCAAATCTCTCATCTTTGCAGTTTGCACGTAATTGACTGATTGATTAAATTTTTGTTTACTTTTTATTTTGGTTTGTTGTGTTATATTCAGGTTGCAAAGGATCGTGACCTTGAGACTATTACCATTTTTTCACTCAGATGAAGTATTACGAGGAAATTGCGGTACTTTTTACTCTCTTTTTTCAAAGAACTATATTTGTCAATACAAAATAAAAAAAGTCTTTTTACCATTGTGCTATTAACTACATAAAAAAATATTACTTTGTCCCGTATCAAAACATTTCACATATTTATCTCTATATGATTGTTGTATGCACAATATACTCAAGTATAAACCCGTATACTTGAGTATAACAGCAAATACTTGAGTACATGGGGTCTATACTCGAGTAAATATTCAACATTTTATTTTTTTGAACATTTACTCAGATATTTACTGTTGCATGCAATATGCTCGAGTACATGGGTCTATACTCGAGCATATTGCGGCCAAATTTCTTACGAAATTTTTTTAACGCGTAACTCTCGAAAATTTATGTGGAAGAAAAAAAAAACCTGATTCGAACACCGGAGTCAAAAAGTTATGATTTTACAAAGTTTTACTCTAAAATTTTCACAATTTTGTAATGCCAATAGGTTTTGTGATATTCACAAACTCCTTCTCCGGTTACTTGAGTCAATTCTAATATTATGAATATATGACTACAAAAACTTGTTTGATCATAAAATCTCGTGGAAAAATATTTAACCATAAAATTTTGGAAGACCATATTTTTTGACTCGGATGTCTGAATGAGGTGTTTTTTTTTATTCCATATAACTTTTCGAGAGTTACACATTGGAAAATTCCCGAGTCAAAAGTTCAAAATTTTATTCTAAAATTTTCAAAATTTTGTAATATCAATAGGTATTATGATATCCACAAAAATTGTTTGATTTAAAAATATGATCTTCTAAAATTTTATAGTTAAATATTTTTTAACGAGATTTTTTGGATCAAACAAGTTTCTATAGTCATATTCTTATAATATTATATTTAACTCGGATAATCTGAGAAGAAGCTTTGTGGGTGTCACAAAATCTATTGGCATTATCAAATTTTGAAAATTATAGAGTAAAACTTCAGAAGACCGTAACTTTTAACTCGAATGTACGAATTAGATGCTTTTTTTTATTTCACGTAACTTTTCGAGAGCTATGCGTTAGAAAATCCCGTGAGAAATTTTGTTGCAATATACTTGAGTACAGACCTATATACTCGAGTAAACGTTCAAAAAAACTCAAATATTGAATATTTACTTGAATACGGACTCGTATACTTAAGTATTTGCTATTATACTCGAGTATATGACACGATCAATGGTCAATTATGGGCAGATAGATAAAATGTTTTGATACGCCAGTAAAGTGATATTTTTTATATATTTAAGGATACAATGGTCAAAAAATCAAATAAAAAGAGTTATATTTGTCCTTATTTATTTTATCGATTTTGTGTGTTTAACGTAACAAAAATAAAAGCCATATTTTATTACCGCTGTGTTGTTTTCGTTATTCCTCTTCTGCCCCGCCCTCATCCACTCCCCCTTCCAGTTCAAAACATTCTCTTTTCCCACGGATATAGGTCACAAGAGTGTGTTTGGATGAGGTAACGAGGGGATTGAAATGGAAACGTTCCCTACGTCGTCGTTTCAACTTTATAATCATCGTTTTTAATTTTTATCCTACCGTTCGATGAAAGCGTGAACAAGTAATTGAATAGAAATGCTATCGATTCACTCTTGTGGATGTTGCCGTGTTTCCACAGCAAGAGCATTCCAATTCCGAACCTCACCTTCTCCTTCGCTCTTTTTCTCTGCTACGAACTGTAAATTCCGTTTCGCCATTACGAGCGCTGGTTCTGGTTTCGCTGGCGAGTCAAATTCCGATGGAGAGCATAAATCGAATTACGCTGGTGTGCGGTTGGAGGAGACCGTGGATTGCAGAATCAGATCTGAAAAACTAAGACTCGATAGTTGGATCTCTTCTCGCATCAACGGCATCAGTAGAGCTCGTGTCCAATCAAGTATTAGAGCGGGACTCGTTCATGTCAATGGCCGTGTGGTTGATAAGGTAATCTCAATGGTAAATCCATCCATTACATCTCGTAGCTGTTTTTTCTTTCATTTTGTATGCTACTGCGAGAAATTGCAATTACGTATATGTGATTAACTCCGTTTCTTTGTTTTTCCTAAAAATAATTTCGAAGTAAATTTACACTTGACAACTAGACCACTGCTATAAATCTGCATCGTTCAGAACTGGAATGTCAACTGTTTATGTATGGTTTTTTGATGAATATGAAATGTGCTGTGTGTCAAGAATTCAGAAAATGTTTCCATTATTTAGATGATGCTCACAAATTGAAGGTGTTTCCTCGCGGAACTCATCTTCTAGTTAAAACTACGTCTTTAATGCCGGCTTTCGTTGTTGCAATCGAACACTTCAAGAAACCACCATTACTCGGGACACTTAAGGCATTAAGCCGTTGATATCAAATATTCCGAGTCTAATGGTGGCTCTTTTGAAATCCGCAGGCTGTATTGAATGATTGATGTATTCAACATTACATGTTCAAAAGGGGAAAATGATCTATTGATTCCAAGATGATTCTCAAACATGCCTTTGCCTGTATTTTTCATGGTCTGGTTTTTGTTTGGTTATTTCAAGAATTGAAGCATCAGCAAGAGCAGTATGCTTTGGTGAATTGGTGTGAGGACAACAACAATTCTTGATTAAATAATCATAAAAAAATTTCATTTGAAATAACTTTGGTCATTGATCTCTAGGTAGGTGTTAACAGTGTCATGTCTTTTTTTCTTAATTTGTATTCTAGCTGCATGCATCAATGATATCAGGTTTTAATTGGTGATGCTTGAGCAGGTTTCTTTCAATGTCAAAGCTGGGGATGAGATCAAGTGCACAATCGCAGAGTTGCAGAAGTTGAGGGCTGTGCCAGAAAACATACCTTTGGATATAGTTTATGAAGATGAGCATGTGCTAGTCATAAATAAACCTGCACACATGGTAATTCCAAGCCCCTAGCTCAATTTATTTATTTTTTTAACTTTTTGGGTTTTTTTTTTTTTATCTTGCATGAATCATTATCCTTGTGCACACTGAGTTTGTTGTGTATAATGTGATGTTCATGCTCTCTGTTTATTAATTGATTTCTCTTGATTTTTAAACTATCACGAGTTCTGTACTTCATGATTTGTTCTCCAACCTAGGTTGTACATCCAGCACCTGGAAATACATCTGGCACACTTGTCAATGGCATTCTTCACCATTGCAACCTTCCAAATGCTGAATTTTCTAAAGAGGAAGGTCCTTCAGATACCGAAGATTCTGATGATGAGTTCAGTAGCTTCTGCTCCCAGGCGAGTTCTTGTGAAGGGTTACATTCTAGACTGTCTGTGGCATCAATTCGCCCAGGGATTGTACACAGATTAGACAAAGGCACGAGTGGGTTACTCGTTGTTGCAAAGGTGTTTCTTGCATTTACTCAAAACTTATCACAAGTGCCCCACTGTAGTAAAGCATGGAAATTCTTGTCATACTTCAAAAGATTAAAATTCAGCTTTGTACCCTTTATTTGTATACTTTGATATCAGGATGAACATTCTCATATGAAATTGTCAGAACAATTCAAGCTGCGTACTATCAAGAGGGTCTATGTTAGTCTTACTGCTGGGATCCCCACTCCGGTTGCTGGGCGTGTTGAGGTTCCTGTTGGCCGTGATCTTAATAACCGGCTACGTATGACTGCTGTAGCCGGACCAGCTAATTCTAGAAATGCCCGTCATGCTGCTAGTAGGTAATTTATGGTCCTTTTACACTTTATATTACTTAGTAAATAACTAAGTATAAATGTTATTTTTCTTATTTATTATTTCTTTTTCCTCTATCTGTTCTTGCTTTTGTTTGGGTTCATTGACTGCCAATTCTAAGTAGTTTAAGATAAAGGTGATGTTGATATTGATGCATAAAGTAATATGAATTATATTACTTGCGAATGGTCATATTTGACTTTTGTGAAATTTAGAATCTATTGGTTTAATATTGATATAAATTTATAATTTTAAACATAGTAGTCAATAGCGGCGCAATAGTGCCGCAAGCCGCGCCAGTTGCGCTTTGCGGAGCTTCGCCGCAACCATTCGCGCCGCGCGGCACCAGATCGCAATAGCGGCCGCATTTGCGGCCAAATCTCGCCGCAACATTGTCTTTTTATGGTTTTAACCCTAACCCACTCTCTCTTTTTTCTTCTCTGTTGTGCCTCTCTCTTCTCTGTTGTGCCTCTCTCTTCTGTGTCTCTTGCTTTCTTTATTGCGCTCGTTTCTTCCCTTCTCTACTTCTCTCTTATAGTATTGAAGTTCAATGTGGAAGCCGTGAACGAAGAAGCAAAGCTTTGAGTGAGAGAGAGAGCAGATGACGAAGAAAAGGAGAAAAAGTGAGAGAAATAGTAAGAGAGAGAGAGAGAGAATAGATGAAGGAGAAAAATAGAAACTATGAGAGAGAGAACGGATGAAAGAGAAAAATAGAAACTATGAGAGAGAGAACGGATGAAAGAGAAAAGGAGAAAAAGTGAGAAAGAAAGAGATTCTGATCTATCTTTATTCAAAGAAAAGAAAAGTACATTTGTCAGAAAAGTGATTCACGAGTCACAGTAACCAAGTAACCTGGTTATAGTAACAGTGGATAAAACTATTTCTATATCCCAAAAAAAAAAGAATGCATCATTAAAAGGTAACTAAGGTAAAACACTAAAGTAACTAAGATAAATCTAGTAAATCAGTAAAGTATAGTTACAACTAAAGGTAGTACAACTATAGCTAAAATTTGGATACGTATTACTAGGAGGTAACATGTCAACTTTGTCTTTATTTTTAATTTTTTATCTTTATATTTTTCTTTATTATTTGTATTTTTTTAGGTGTTATTATTTTTTTAATAATTCATTATGTCACACACACACACACACACACACACACATATACATATAATTTGTTTTTTTAATAAATATATTTTTTCCGCTATTTACGCAACCGCAACCCGCAATAATGCTATAGCGGTTTTGAAGGTTCGTCGCATCAGGCCGCAATCCGCATTTGATAACTATGATTTTAAACATGTATGTGTACACATAATATGAACTCTGAGTTTGATTTTGTTTGACTTGCAATTATAATGACCAATGGCTAAAAGATATTTCATCCTTTGAATTTTTCCATCTTATAATCAAATGATCAAAACTGAAGGAAACAGTTGAGTATCTCACCTTGAGTGATCCACTAAAGTCGTTGGTCATTATGTTAGTTTTGCATTCTTCCATATTGCGGAATGCCCATGAGGTTTATTTAAGGCTTCATAGCAAGTGGTACACTAGGAACATGTATTCATCTAAAAGTAGATTTCTTTCCATCTGTCAGGTACAAAGTAATTGAGATACTTGCTGGGGGCAGTTGTGCATTGGTTGAGTGGAAGTTGGAAACTGGACGCACTCATCAGGTACATCATGGTATATAATTTTAGAAACTCCAGAGAAATGGTACATGATGCAATTTGATCTCACACTATCACGTGAATCAGATTTTTGGGCACCTACTGAACTTCGTTGAAATAACAGCCTTGCTTTGCCCTTGATATTGGATTGAAGAATCTGAAGATATTTTTACTGACCCACTTTCTTATGGTCTTTGTTTTTATTGTTCATGCTGTTATTTAACAAATTATATCAATTTTAGAGTGAAATGATAAACATTGCTTTTTTTAATGGGTAAATTACATTTTATTTCCCTGAAGATCTCGTAAATTCAACATTAGTTTACCTAGATTGAAACCTTATATTTTCCCAATCAACTTCCAGTCTACATATAATTGACCATGTGAAGATTTAGAGACACTACATGCAATCATCTAAAACATACGAATCTTCCCAAGCCGCATGGGAATTTGTCTTTTAAACTGGAGAAAACAAAAACAATGAGTCCGTTTTGTGGATAAACTGGACACAACTAATCACTGGGAGAGGCTGTGTAAAGTGAATTGGAGAAAACAGAGAAGTGGGTAAGGCTGTGTGTTCTCACTGCATTATGAGGAGATGATATTTACGATTGTTATATTAGTTTATAATGTAAGTGTAAATTTGGAATTACGGTTTGTAATTTAGAATTATTATATTAATATGTCTCCTTCTAGGATGACCACGTATACTTTTGCATAATATACAGTTACACGTGTAATTTGTAATTTAGGGGGCTCAGTTTTTCCTTTCTTTCTCCCTTGTCCAAAAAGTAGTTACACTATTTCAGATAAAGGATAGATCCCAATATTTTGAAAAAATTTCATCAAATGTAATTTTTTAAGAATATTTTACTAGAATTTGCTATTATGATTACCTCCCAAAAAACAAACATATTGAAAAGAAAAGATGACTAAACAATCACACAAGATGGGGGGGGGGGGGGTGTTTGGTAAATTGTATGTTACTTGAAATTTAAGAAACAATTCAAAATTCAACTTTTTAACAAGTATATCAATAAAAAACGAATTTAAACAGATTGTAAACCTTTTTTCCTACACAAAACAGAATCAAAACAATTTTAATAACATAAATTCAGAAGCAATGCAGGAGAATAAAAATTAGAATGGGAAAATAAAGAAAATCAATGTTTACGGCAACCCTTTTCAAGAATTCATACAAGAACGAATTAAAACATAAAACTAATGATTCTCAACCCCTATACAGATTCAATATAACATACAAACAATCAAAAATGAAATCAATTGATAGAAATCAAAAGAGATAGGGTACGGAAGAATTACATCGCGATATATCTTGATTCACCCTCTAACCACTTGAGAGCTACGTCCAGACTGAGGTCGATCGTTTTCACTATCATCAAGTTGCAACAGGTGCTTGAAGAAACCTTTTTACAACTGAAATTTTACAAGTCTGTGATCACACTTAACCTAAGCCCTTAAGGATCGCTACAATTGTCTCACAAACAATTACAGCAACACAAACTGTGTAAACAGATTTAGGGTATCCTTCCGTTGTTCTTTTCCAACAAAAAGATTCAAAAAAGATTAAGAAACTAGAGAGTAATTGAGATTCTTCTTAAGGATGTGCAAAAGTAAGCCAATATGTGTTCAATTCTGAGATTTCTGTGATTTTGCGTTTTGCAGTGTTAATTCTTGTGTTCAGAACCCTAATGATATGTATTTATAGGTGCCCAATGAGTTATTAGTTGTTTATAGTTGTTGGACATCTAAAAATTCAAATTACTTAAGTCACAAGTCACGTCTGACAGCAAGTATTCGATTACTTTTTGGGGGAGTATTCGAATATTTCTTCAAACCCAGAAATTATTCGATTACTATTCATCAAGTATTCGATTACTTGTTCAACCTAGAAAAGTATTTGATTCCTTTTATGCAGAAATCAGTTTCATGCTGGTTTTCGAAATTCAATGCATCCTTATGATTTCTTGTGACCTTTAAATGATTCTAAGTGACTTCTTAATATGTATGATCATGTTTCACACTTATATAACAACTTTTGATGTGTGTGTGACATTGTATGCATGATCTAAGTGTGCGAGTCACTTTTATGAGTTTATGGTGTAGTTTTGCACTTCCTAAGATAAAGCTCAATAAACTCATTCTTATTAGTTCTATGACTTAAACAAGACCTTACAAATAATATAGAGTTATGTCTTCACTGGTCTTCAAGTCTTTGTCTATTTAGAGTTATGTAGAGTTTTCCATTACTTGAATATTTTGACTTCATGGTTGACTTTGCCATTTTGAGTCTTTTCTTCAACTTTGCACTTTGATATAAACTTCTTGTGTCATTTGAAACTTGTTGCCTTGCTTTGCATTGAGAGCTTCCTTGTTGGTCTTTTGTATATGCTTTGTTATTATAAAATTTTATTAGCATAGTCTTCTTGACCTATGGTTCAACACATATTTCATGTTTTGTAGATCCGTGCACATGCCAAGTATTTGGGAGTTCCTCTGCTGGGTGATGAAGTGTACGGAGGGACGAAGAGTATGGTATTGTCACTGCTACGGCCCCGAACACCCCCGAGTTTGCATGGCAAAATTGTTAACATGGTTTCTGGGGTAGATAGGCCTTGCCTTCATGCCTTGACTCTCGGGTAAGTGGATTAAAGCCTATTTATCTTCCCCGCTTATTCTTTTTGCATTATTCATGAAACTTGATAGTGCTGTTGGTTTTGCCTATTGTTTTGCAGGTTTCAGCATCCCCATACAGGGGAGCAGGTGCACTTTTCATGCGAACCCCCTGTAGACTTTGATGAGATTTTGAGCCAGCTTCGTAGAATTGGCAGTGAGAGGGTTTCTTTATCAAACCGTTCAAATTTATGACGAGGCACTGTAAGCCATTCATAATCACAGCGGGTTTCGTTTTCTTATCAAATTTGCTAAATATTTTTTTGATCATATATTAATTAAAAATACTAAAATACAAACAAATAAAAAATATTAAAATACAATGGCAAACATAAAACATGAAAGTGTAGACAGCATAAATTGTTTAACTAAAATTTACACCATCTAGTAATTTGTGGAATATAAAATTGACTGACGTCTTGTTGGCTTTGCTTTTGACTTTAGCTTTGCAAATATATTCTGTATTAATTACTAGGTACTGTGTTCATAATTAATAATGATTTACATTATATAACAAGATTAAATATATATACTCCAATTATCTTAATTCCTCGTAACTTTAATACCCTCATTATATTTATAAGTAGCTCAAGCATAACATCGGACGTTGATGGTTACAGTGAACGTAAATTATAATCTTAAACAAACTTGAAAAGTCAAGGATTTCAATCCTAGAGTACCTATTTTTGAGGAGTGTTTCTACTATTCCCGAGCTAAAATTGCTAAATAACTATTGTCCCACGTATGTATGATTTACCCATAAGTTATCGAATAAGGTGTTACGGTGTTACTGTAAATTTTTTAATTGGTCATATTCTGCACTTTCATTTAGTTCAGGTGTGTTGAATTACCAATTTTCATTTAGTAGCTCATACGGATACATATAAATGGAGTGATAATCACTATAGTCCGAATCAGTATGTGAATTATGGGGAAGAAACAGTATATTTTGGTTTGACGATGTTTTCATTTTAATTTTCAATTTTTAGAATAATTTTTATTTTTAGATTTTTTTAATATTTAAAATATTTGGTTGCATAATTTTTTTGTTGTGTTTAATATTTTTCATGTTGTAGGAGATGAAATTATCTTTAATATACACATAAAATTATGTAAAGTTCATATTTTTTTTAATTCTTTTTTCTCCTAACATAACCTCTCATGAATCTCATACACTTTTATATATATACAGAAAATAAAATTATCTTTTATAATATAATAAATATTACACCTTTTTTATTATAACGACAAAGTTGTTACTGTTTTAATAGTCTGTTTCTCGTAAAGATGAAAATTCGGAAATGATCATTTGTTGTTTTCGTAGTTCTTTTAATTTTTTAATTTTTGTATTAAAAAATACATAAAAAAGCAAGAGCAGAATACAGAAAAAACAAGAAACTATCCTCGCATGTCATCGTTGTTGTCGCAGAGCTCCAATATAGCCCAATGCTACCCATATCAAGGAGGGTGTTCAGATCATGTGGGGGATCTAAGAGAGGCCTATTTTGGCAAGGAAATCTGCACATTGTTGTTCTCGCAAGTAAACTGGATCTCCCAGCCTTTGTTCAGCCATTCCATTGCCTTGGTCGTCAAGCGGGGGTAGGTTCCAATGCTATCAACCTCGAGGACATGGAGGAGAGCATCCATTGCTTCACTCTCCATGACAACTTTAAAAATATTTTTTTCGCATACTAGTTTCTCTATATATATGCCAATTAATCTTAAAATTTATAAAACTCATTAGGTTGCCTATTTATTTACTCTAAAAAATATTTTGTCAGTTGATGTTTAATACAGTACGGATGAAATGATATATAATAGAACGGAGAGAAAAAGAATAAAATAAAATATTTATACTATTGGTTGGATTAATAATGGACTATTCTCTAGCCTGTCCTTACCTGTATTTTCACATTTTAATAAACCAAACTATTATTTGAAAAGGCTGCGATTATGGGGACTTCATCCTGTCCGAAGCATACGATTCGGAAACATTCTAAGAAACCAACTTGGATCAAAGACAGAAAATAAGTTCGGTAACAGTATAGAACCTAGGATTCAACAATGCCCTTCAAATAAAATTGACATTGAAAAATAAATTTTAGACTTACGCTGAAAGTATGTAAATGTGATTAAACAAATGCTACAACCTAATTTTTTCTTATAAAAAAAAATTAATTGTAATCATTGTTAATTCATGTATTATATCATATTATCGAATAATGCGTTTGACTACAATAATGACTTAAATACAAACTTCTTAAATAAAGAGACAACACATTGAATGATAATAATAATATAAAAAATACACCAACAACAGATTAAAATAAACTTTTTTACATACTAAGATTTTGTACTTCTCCATACGTGTTTTAACTTCTTATGTGACAAATAACACATTTTCAAAAACTTATGCATGATTAATATACTCGCTTTTCAGTATGTTAAATTACAAATTGTATTTCTGCCTATATTCAACACATCCTGCCCTAGTAAGCCTCTTACTTACCTAAAGACATCTTCGTTTGAAACTCTATGACAACTATAAGTCAAATAAGAACTCAGATTATATCAACATAAAGTACTCTTTTTTCCCCTTTCCCCCGAGGGTATTAACTACGAGCTAGAGAAACCGAAGCGTTTTTTTCTACACGTGATAAAAGTGCTGGCGTACCTGAGCAAAGGAAAATGTCACTAGGTAGCATAAGTGTGAATAAAAATGCATTGAATATGTGTTTCTCCAATCGAAAATGCCATGAATCACTCACCCTCTAATAATCCATTTGAATCCTGCAAACATAAAATCATCAGGAGCTAAATGATATGCGATATCAATTTGTTAACTAAGGAAGTTCAATGATCCAACAATCACACTCGGGTACTTCGGTGTTTAGAGTGTGACACAATCGTATATATGATATGAGACGGATCCTTCCTAAACAAGGGTAGAAAAGTTGTTTTTTTTTGGGTAAATTATATAAAACCATCTTGTACTTAGGTGTTTTTTTAAAAGACTACCTTCTACTTTCAATTGAAACAATTAACCTCCTTGTACTATAATATTTCAACAATTAAACATATTTAGTAATTTTCAGACAAAAATACACACCACCAAGTGTCGTGTATATGGAGAAAACAGCTACTCTTAACCTGTTCTCTTTGAAGTGTTACGCACCCAAACAATTGTTAGTCTGGAGCCAACCTAATGAATTAACCAATAATCCTTCTAACATGGAAAGGTAATGTTTGGGTAAATTTGGTGAATAGAAACTTGTTGCAACTGCGAAAGAGCAGCTGATGATAGGAACTTGTTATATCAGCTTTAGAATTATGGATAGAAACTTCTCAAGGATCCTTTGAATTTTAATCTTCAAACTTGAAATGAATATTCCCATGCTTAGGTGCACCATTTCGTTTGCCAAAAGGGCCTACATAGACTCGGTGTACGGCTTAAAATGGTGCTGTAATTGTTCTCACGGACATTTTACTGGGTACGAAGTTGTATCCTATACAAATATTAAAATAAATAATAATGAATTATCAACCCCTAAAAACCCAACCTGTGCTTGGCCACTGATGCATTTGGAGGTCACTGTAAAGGATTAGAGTTAAAAGGAGCAATTTTTGGGGAAAGATTTCTCTGTTAGGCAGTAATTCCAAAAGTTGAATTTTTTCTGCAACTAAGGTAATTAGAGCCCAACTCAAACTACAATGATAAAGCACCAGAATCCTGAACAATTAATGGCTACCTAAAGCACTGACAGAAAACCCTATCAATTCTCTTTGCCAGAAAAGCAAAGCCAATTTTCCAACGAGTGCGATTAGACTTTTTGGGATTGGACACACTTCTTCCAAAAACGGTGCCGATTGGTTATTGTTGATGGACGAGTGGATCTTCCATTTTCCTAGTAGCCAGTATTCTCCATAAACCAGTGGTGATGGGTTGCAGATAAGGATAATTTTGTTTGAAAATTACTAAATTTGTTTAATTGTTGAAATGTTATAGTACTGGAGGGTTAATTGTTACAATGGCAAGTAGAAGCTGGTCTTTTAAAAAAGCATCTAAATACATGGTGATTTTATATAATTTGTCCCCTTTTTTTTTTAACAAAATGGGAAGTATTTAAGCTTTAATATGCAAACTTTTTTTTGGGTACATAGCTTAGATATGCTAATTAATTTTACGCAATTGGGAAGTATGTCGCATATTCTTTTACAAGAGGAGGGTGGGGAGACAGCAAATCTAACATCATCAAACCTAGTTAATTCCAGCAACTCAAGACAAATTAAATGGGCACTTTGAAATGGTATTTTCAAATTGATACTGAGAAGTTTTATTTTTGGATAACAAAAAGAATGAGAGCGAGGTTCGGAGCTGAGATAAGATTGCTCTTTCGTGACCAGAAGGTCATGGATTTGATTCTACGAAACAATTTCTTTACAAAAATGTTAACTAAGGTTGCGTCCTCACCCTTAGGGTTGGCAAAACGGGCCAACCTGACTTGACCTGGCCCAACCCGTTTGCAATCCGAAAAAAACGAGTCGGGTTAGGGTTGGCTCGAAAAAAAAGCGAACCAGAAAACTCAATCCAACCCAACCTGAGCCGGGTTAGGGTTGTGGCTCGCTGGCTGGCTCGAAAAAATGACTCGCGAGTTGGCTCGAAAAAGGGGTTTTCAAAATTGGGGGGTTCAAGTAGCACATCAGCATGCTGCAAAAACCAGAAAAGCAGTATATCATAACTACTCAAGCATCTCAACAGCAACAAGTGAATGAAAACCAAGACTTGAAGATAAGTATGATACCCACATGCGGCAAAACGAACAACACAAAAAAAATAAAAATAGAGGCTCAACTTAACCAAACCACCTATCTCGATATCTTCTAGCTGCATCATCATTGCAGATTTGGTTAGGGTTACCTTGGTATGCGTGAGGATGGGAGGGCTTTCTATTTGGGTAAGGCGACAAAGAAAGGGCTTGGTCGAGAGTGGCTAATGAATCTGGTTGCTGATGAGCGATTTTTTAGACAAGGAGAATGGAAAGAAATTAAAGAAAAGAGCTGAGAAATAAGTTGAATCAGCGAAGATGGAAGGCAAAATTTCCCAAACGAATGAAACATATTGAGTTAGGGTTTAAAAGTTCAATCCTGATACTGATATGCTTGCTCGGTGGTGGGGTAAGTGGTTTGATCTTTTGCCTTTTTGGCTCGATTTCTTCCAATTGGCTCGGGTTGTCAGTTCATATTTGCCAACCCAACTCAGCTCATTTTTTGGGGTTACGAGCCAACCCGACGGGTTGGCTCATTTTTGCCATCCCTACTCACCCTTACTCTCACAAAGTGGGGGAGATTGAGTGCACTAAGTGGAAGTCTCACATTGGTTAGAGATGGATTAAGTGAGAATTATATCAGTGAAATGATCCATGAACTTCATGCCTCAGGTTTTGGGTTGAGATGTGTTATGAAGCCCACTTATTGTTGTGGATTGTCGCTTAGTTCATTGATGGTGGTTTCCCAACCATGTACTCCCCCTGGCCACCTAACAATGGTATTGGAGTTCAGGCTTGTTGTCACCCGGAGTCCTAGAGCACATATTGCGGAGCCAGGGACTTCATGAGTGTATCCAAGGCTTGGTTGATAACCACATAAACACTCGAATAAACTTCCGCTTGAGGGGGAGTTACGACTCATACTTGAGAAAGAGAATGTTGGGAATTTAACCATGAATGGTTAAGTTCCACATTGGTTACGAACAGACAAAGTGAGGACCATATAAATGGAAAGATCCATGAATTTAATGCCTTAAAGTTTTGGGTTGAGACATGGTGTCGAACTCACTTATTGTGGTGGATTGTCACTTAGTCCATTGATAGTGGTCTCCCTGCCATGGACTCACCCTGGCTGCCTAACGGTGCTATTAGAGTTCGAGCCAAGAACTAGAGTGTAGCCAATAATGAAGATTGCTGAGAATTCAAGTGTGAATGGTAAAATCCCACATTGGTTAGGAATTGATAAAGTGAGGATCATATAAGTGGAAGGCCCTATGAGCTCAATGTCTCAAGATTATTGATTGAGACGTGGTGTCAAACCCACTTATTGTGATAGATTGTAACTTGTTCCATTGTGGATCATGTATGAGTTGGCGACCAAAATGTATATGGATATAACTTATAATGGGGTTTGGCCCTTAAATGACTGCTCAATGATAAAAGAGGTTTCGATCCAAAACTTGAGATAATGGATATAATTCAAAAAAAGATTCATAAGTGGTTGTGGAGTGAAATAGAACATGAAATCGTAAGCTCCCAAGCAGTTGGAGGAGCCTAGCCCGGGGCTCTGACCGCATGCCTTTTGAAGAATGAGCCGGCAACTCATTGGCAGTGGCTTGGATAAGAGAAACCACCAGAGTCGTAGCAAAAACAAACCTTCATAGGCAATTGTCAATGCTGAACTCATAGAGAAGAAAATAGATCTATGAAGGGAATAAAATATGCAATATTTACGAACAAAAAGTATTCAGTTATTGGGGAAAAATCAATATCCTTCTAATGTTGAATCGAGATCAACTAGGACAGAAATAAAGCATTGGGTCAAATTCTTCTTTTGTGTCTAAGGTAATAGCTATGAATAGTCTTTCTATATATATATATATATATATATATATATATCGTCCAAAACGATTTTTATCAGTTGTAGCAAAGAAAAAAACTTCTTGTCTACCACTATGATTGAAATAGCGGCGCTATAGCGCGAGATAGCGGTTCTGGTGCGGGTTGCGGCACCCAGACGCAACTTCCGCACCGCGACGCCACAGTTTCCGGTAGCGGCCGGTAGCGGACAACAGCTCTTGCGGCGTTATCGAGCCGCTACAAGGAAAGGAAGAGGAGTTGCAAACGTTAATGGAGAAAAACGAAGCGGTGAAAGTCAGGTGGCAGTGTTTATTAAATTTGATTATTATTTAAGGGTATAATGGGGAAAAGGCAGGATAAATGAAGGGTAAAATAGATATTTAACTTAAAAAGCCAGCCATTTTTTTAAAAAAAAACAAAACTTTAAATTTGAATCAGTCATCACATCACATGCACATCTGCTACCCTGCTTTGGTGGGACCACACTCCTTGGCTGTCACATACACATTTCCTTGGCTGTCACACACACATCTCCTTTTCAGATATTAGTCTGTCTCTGCACGTTTTTTTTTCTTCATTGTTGATAATATGTTTTCAATTCCTCCATTTTAATAACTATTTTAAATTTTTTATGTGTTTTAAAAAAAGTTTTTGAAAACGTGTAAATATATAATTTAAACAAGGATATAAATTAAATTAGAAAAGGGTTTGTTTTTAAACTTTTAAAATTTTTCAAATTAGAATCACATAAATTTTTAGATATGATATAAAATTTAAAAAAAGTGTAGAAAAGATATAGAATTTTCACATATTTCATCTATTTAAATTAGAATAAGATGATATTAAGTATCAGTTTAAAGAATAAATTTTTTATATAAGGGTTTGTTTTATTAAAAATAAAAAATGTTAGAATGTAAGTGTCAATAATCAAGAGAATAAAATGAAAAAAATTAATTATATTACTTTTTACTAAATTTAATAAAAGATACAATGAAGATATTTTCCAATTTAAAGTAATATAAATGCAATTTATCAAAAAAAAAGTAATATAAATGCAGATTACCAAAGATAAAATAAAGTATAAATACATGTAAAAAATATATATATTTACTGCATTTTTTTTTCTGATGAAAAGAGAGGGAAATATTGTTTTTTTCCCTCGTCTTTTTTATCGTCTTCTTTCCCTAGTCTTTCGCTGAGAAGAAAAGAGGCAAATATGGTCTTCTATTCACGTCATCATCTTCTTTCCCTCTTCTACTTTTCTTGGACTTTGAAGATCTGAAACAGAACAATATGATTTGCTTAATTTCCCACGATGAGTAGCTCTGAAGACTTTCGTGCGGCTTTGAAAATTTGAAACAGTCACTCCATTGAAGGCCCTTTGTTTCTTCTCCCCTGTTTTGCGACTGTTCTGTTTTGCCTTTCTCCACTCTATTGATTTTTTGGTTTTATCTTTTTCCTTGAATTGGTTTTGTTGAGTGGAAGCCCCTGTTGTTTTCTGATAATGGCATCACAAAATATCCAACAAAACAACTTAGCTTCCGTGGCTTCTTGCGGATTGGTAAAACCCACCGGTGAAAATCTTGATATGGCATGGCAGTGGAATAGTTTAAAAGATATCAATAACAAGAGATATATAACATGTAATTTTTGTGGGAAAGTTACAACAGGTGGCATCACAAGAGCCAAAAGACACCAGATTGGGTTGAAGGGGGATGTGGGTCCTTGTAGAAAAATCTCACCCGAAATTAAGAAGATTACGAAAGATGCTTGTGTGCAAAAGCTTGCTGAAAAGGATGCATATAGTGTTGATATACACGAAGATGATGATATGCTAGAAGAGGTGCAAGAAATTCAACACATTAAAAATGGGAAAAGGAGTGAGACAGCTTCAAGTGAAGCCTCTAATAGTAATAGAGCTGCTGCCAAGAGAGTTAAAGGCCCCTTGGATTTACTTTTTTTTAAGAAACCAGGAGCAAGCATTAAAGTGGGCAAAGGAAAGAGGCAAACAAGCATAAATGATGCTTGTGATAAAGAAGCAAGGGCTAGAACTATTCAATACATTGAAAGATTTTTGTGTACAAATGGAATACCTTTCAATGTTGTACGTTCAAAAAGTTTCAAGTACATGGTTGAAGCAATTGGGATTTGATGCTTGAAGATATTGGAAAAATTGAGAGAGTTAAAAAAGCAATACAAAAAGGCATAAAGCTTGTTGGGTTCATTTATAATCACACATTGGCATTGAACACAACGAGGAAGTATACAAGCAAGACTGAATTAGTTAGGCATGGAGTGACAAGATTTGCTACAACTTTCCTCACATTGCAAAGGCTTTATAAGCAAAAAAATAATCTTAGAAAGATGTTCACATCGGATGATTGGCTGAAATCAAATACAGCAAAAGACCCTAAGGGAAAAAGGGCGACTGACATTGTACTTATGCCATCATTTTGGAATGATATTATTCATTCTTTAAAGGTTATGGGGCCTCTTGTGCGGGTGCTTAGACTTGTTGATAATGAAAGAAGGCCCGCAATGGGATATATATATGAAGCAATGGATAGGGCCAACGAAGCAATTCAAAAATCTTTCAATGGAAATGAAGATAAATATAGGGATGTTTTTGCTATAATTGATAGAAAATGAGACTGCCAACTTTATCATCCATTACATGCTGCAGGCCAATATCTAAACCCCGAATACTTTTATGCTAATCCAAAGATTGATGATGATGCTGAATTGATAGTTGGACTATATAAATGCATTGACAAGCTAAGTGCAAATGAGGAAGAGGTGGACAAGATACATGGACAATTGGAAAAATATAGGAGTGCAGAAGGCCTTTTTGGTATGAATACAGCAATAAGACAAAGGAATAAAATTGCTCCTGGTAAGTAAAAGCACACTTATTTGATCACTTTAAGCTTTTATTTAACAAGTGGTAATGTTAACAAATTGCAATTTGCATTACAGCTCAATGGTGGAAGTCGTATGGAGCACATGTTCCAAATTTGCGAAACCTTGCTGTTAGAGTGTTGGGCTTAACTTGTAGCTCATCGGGATGTGAGCGTAATTGGAGTACTTTTGAGCATGTAAGTACTTGTTAAATGATTTTTGTTTGTAGCGTTTCATATCATGATTGTGAAACTAATATTCTTTATTGGAAATTGTAAACTAGATTCATTCTAAGAAGAGAAGCAGGCTTGAGCATCAAAGGTTGCAAGACTTAGTCTTTATTACGTATAATCAAGCTCTTAAAGAACGTTTTGAGAGTCGTGATTTGGTTGATCCTATTGTCTTAAAAGACATTGATGAAAGTAATGAATGGTTGGTGGGAGAAGTGGGTGAAGATGCAGAAAATGAGTTCGTTTTTTAAGATGATACATTGACTTGGAGAGATGTTACTAATGTAATTGGGGCTAATGAGCCTATAACTTACACTAGGCAGCATACTAGATTCAGGAACGAAGCTGCCTCTATGCCATCAAGCTCTAGGGGAATAAGGGCTGAACAGATTGAAGAAGGTGATAACGAAGAAATAGAAGATGAGCATGAACAAATCTACAAATTTAATACTAGTGAAGAAAGTGAGGGTGGAGAAGAACAAGGCTTTGAAGAAATGTTTGATGATGATTCTGATTAGTTCTTTTCCTTCTTGACTTTGATAGAGCAATTTGTATTTGACTCTATTTGGATCTTTTATGTTCCTAGAATATTATTAATTTAGTTTCCTTCAATGAACTAGTATGTTGCTTCCTTTATGTTCCCTTTAATCCTTGTTTTGAATGTGTAGTATCATACTTTTCATTACTTATTTCCTTCTATTTTGGGTGATTTCTTATCTTATAATATTTATATATGTGGTATAATTTATTATAAATATTTATATAGACTTCACAGTAGCGGCTTTACCGCTACCCGCTATAGCGTTTTTGGGGTCGGCCGCTACCCGCTATTTAAAACTATGGTCTACCAAAAAAAGAAAGAAAGAAACTTCATAGAAGTCGAAACATGAGGAAATAGATATGCCTAGATACTTTTTTTTCTATGGATACAAAATATCTAATTGATAGAGGAAGCACCGTAAAGATGAATTAGGAGGGTTGGGGCTGATACAATAAGAACTGCTTGCTTATACAATGATAGAAAAGTTAGGAATCCACTTGGGTCGTCAAATCTCTTCCTGCTTCAAGCTCAGGTTTTCCAAGAAGGGATCGGGAAGAAAGTACAAGCAACAATTGGGTTTATCACGGAACAACTCATCATGTTCATATCTATCTATTATACACCAAAAAATTGATCCATTTATAATTCTCCGTTAGTTGGATTAATAGATCATAATGGTCTTCCCACCATGACCGTCTCCCATATGAGGTTTGTCTTTTTATAACGAAAAGAAACGTCACTGAAAAATACATAAATGGAGAGTATGATATCCGCTTACCTAAGCCTGAACATGAAGTCAAACTCACCTGAATCAAGTTGGGACCCTTAAAATTGAGAATGGAGATTTTATGGACAAATTTCTCATAGAGATTTTCAAATAAAGTCATCTTTAAATTATTCACCCCTATTTAAAAGAGCAGTAGACTTATCCTTAGTCTCTAGAAGTACCTGCGCATTCGGTGGCTTAAACCTTGTACTCCTCAAGATGCATCCACTTTGTTGAAGACCATTTATTTCCTCTAATTACTGGGCAACCGCCTGGAAGCAAAGATAAATCAATTAACTTTACCAATCATGGCTTTCTGGAAACAAAAGAAATTGCGAGCATAAAACGAAATGCCGAATGTGGCTTTTGATTTCCACTGGAAAGAAAAAAGGATGGAATGACATGGCAAGAATATTCTCAACTTACGGATATTTATCATTATTTTCCGAGGGGCAAAATAGAGCAAGCATGTAAAAGATTAAACAGTGGCAGTAAATATATGGACCAATCTGAACCTAAATGTGGAAAGATGACTCATGAAATGTGGTAAAAAATGGGTCAATCTGAACTTGACATGCTATAGTAACAAAGTCTGTATTTACAGCTGATCCAGTGACGATTTTGAACAGTTTCTAACCATGTAAACTTGATGGATCTAGTGTGGCGTCTGGCCTCATGCTCCAAAACAGCAGAGCATCACCCATTTTTGGTTTCACTGAGATACCCTTTCTAGCACATTCGGATAAATCATTCCACCATGGCACAGAACTAAAATTTGCCTTGGCAGCAGGAAATATGGTCTCACCACCTTCTTCGACATCTGAACTGCATAATAAGTAGGAATAAAAATAAAGGGAACCATCCAGTATCTATACAAAATTCATCACAAAGCACAATGCAAAAACCATGATTTGGAAAGAGAATAAGAGCTTACAGGTACATAAGAACTGTAGCAATACGTTGGCCTCCATTCTTAGTGTTGAACTCATCAAGGAAGTAATCATAATGAGGTTCATATTTCTGCCCGACTTCATAGTGAAGAACCTGAAGTCCTTCACCATTCTCTGCATATTTTAAAGTTAATCAATAGTTATCCAGAAAGTTTAGGCATTCAATCATGCCCATGGATAGGAAGTTCTATTAGAAAACATAAAATATTTTGACAAATACACAAGTTTTAGAGCTACTTAAGCATTGATGCATAATGTAACAATACAAACTGGACCTTAGGACCACTGGTTGCTTCCTGTGCCATTAAGTTTAGAATTCTGCAGAGTCCTGTGTCCAAACCCCAACACGACCTGTGACTTTCCCCTTCCCTTCATGGAGAGACCCAATTCGCTATACCCACCCCAAGTCATGGATCTTCTATTTTAACCAAAAAGGAACGTACTAATACAACTCAGGAATTAGTTTCTCAGAGTTCTTGCATTAATTTAAATCAAACTGGTAGTTCATAAACATTTAGCTATGGAAATCATTGACAAATATCTCGAATTCTCCTTTAATACATTCTGACTCTATTGAAGGCTACCATTTTTATATTAAACCAAGCCTTTTACATTCAAACAGCTTCTCTATATGTGACAGCACAAAAACGTAACCTCCACCAAAACGACCATATGATAGATAATGAAATTCAAAGTAGAAAATTCCTAAACTAATGCACTCTACAAAATTTGTGGCTCTTTAAGAAAGGAATAGACGAGAAAAAATTATTTTAAAAGACACACAAAAACTTATTCCATCAACTTTATTATAAACTGGCTCATGACCAAGTAAGAAAGAATACCCACAATTTATAACACTCTAAAATACTGTATTTCTCTTGTTCTCCTATGCACTGATCAAATTCCTTTTGGTGCAATATTATCTTACTTTTCCACGAAAAACCCCCAAGGCATTAAAATAAATTCTTCAAAAGAATAAAATAGCCCAGTTTCATTTTTAGAATTTTTATTTTTATTGCTATAATAATGTAGGGAACTGGAAACATTTAGAATCCATCACTCCAAACTCAACCCTCATTCTAAATGGGGAAAAAGTAGCCATTAGATCTGACATGAAAATTCATCTCCAGGGAAGTAGGATTTTCAGGTATAATGGTATACGCAAATCTATAGAAGAACTTCTACAACAAATTCTATTTCGGCTTAGTGTGAAATGCAAACAATTGGTATGAAGGTATAAGCAGGTAGGCATAGGTATCATACAGAAATTCATACCTACTGGTATGAAGGTAAAGTCAGCAATTCTCTTTTCAATATTCTGGATAATTTTGTCCTTTCCTCTCTTGAGAAACATTCCTGAACTAGTTCGAACCCTACAAGCAGGGAATATCTAGAATAATGTATTACCACTAGTCTCTCAAGAACAAGTATACGAACAATAATACGATCCGAAATTGTTGGAACCTTCACAAAAACATGGAACAAAGGCAAACCTGCTTTCTGTACTCTTTCCAGTCTTGCTATCAACAACACTTGATTTTACCATAAAAGGTTTGGCAAGATTGATCAAGTAATCACATTCTTCTTTTGACTGTTCCAAATCATAGGCAGAGTTAACATTGTCACACAATATAAATCTCAACAGTTACTACTACAAGAACATAAATATGTAAAATAAGATCTCTCACTCAAACTCTAAAGTCTTTAAGCTAGTTCAAGTTGACCACAATTTGAATATTCCATGTATGAATTGCCTGGATTTTCTTTTATCATGAATTATCCAGAAGAACCTCGATCTTAATAAAATTCACTGAATTCAGTTTTCCCTGAGACTAGCCCATGCTTACAGAAGTTTCAAGAGCAATTCTACAATTTTCCATGACATAGATGCAGCACTCTATTCTATACTTGATTAACTTAATCATCCAAAAAAACATCTAAGGAACAAAATATTCCCAATCTCAACGAGCTAGGAACACCGATTTGTATAAAAAAAAAAAGTTTAATAATAATAATAATAATAAAGAACGAGGAGAGGCAGATCCATAAGCAGATAACAAAAACTGACCAGGAAATTGTGATAAACGATAGCTCTTGGCTCCCAGGAGAGAAATTCAGTCCACTGCTCCTGCCTTTCTACCAAACTGTCACCACTTCCAGAAGCAACAATTATGAAAGATTAAACACATTTTAGTTCGAGAAATCACTCCATGTCCAAACAAATCAAAATCAAACGGAACAGAATGAATTTCTATTATAGCACCTTTCAGAGATCTTGCGCCTGAATGCACTAAGATCCGTGGTTGGAGAATCGTCGTTGGTAGATGGAAGATAAACAAAACCGAGAGCAAGGAGGACGAGAAGAACAAGTGTGAGCATCAAAAGCGTCGAGAAAACCAGCGTAAACGTCGACCATTTCTTCCCCTGTGCCCGTGTATGCGTATACCTTCCTTTCGCCATGAGCTTGAAATAATGTTTAATTGAATCTGCTCCAAAACCCTAAGCAATAAACCAACGATTTACTCAGTCGTACTCATATCTCACTTCATTGACTCCAGTCGCACTCTCTACCTACGTACCAAAATATTTCCCGCCGTCCAATAACTCGGTATCTTTCTGTTATCTTATCTGTTTTCGTTTTTTATTTTTATAAATAAAATTCAAAATATAAAATCAGGATATAGAAGCGTTGTTGGCGTGCGTAATAATGAATTGGGAGTTATGTTTTTTTCCTTTTTAAAAAGTTGAATTAATGCTGGGGTTGTTGGAGAACGTGCACGCATAAGCTTATTAGTAACTCACGGTATCTTTAGCGGGGGCGTTATGCGTAGGTCCCCTTAACGGCACCTGGTTTCACCTTTGACCTTTCTGGCTTGCATTTTTTTTTTTCTCTTCTAGACACGGCCCATGTAATGAAAAATTGGTGCCTGGAAATATGAATTGGATCAACTCTAATGTGCTGGTTTTAATAATTAAGCCCCAAACTATGGATGCTTCTCAAACAAAAGTTCATCCACTAAAATAAACCCAAAACTTATCTATTAATCAAAATTAATATTTCTTATATTATAGGAGATAAAATTATTTTTTACACAAAAAAAGAAATATTAGATTCATGTGAAGAGAAGAGAAAAAAAAAATATAGACCTCAACATTAATCTCTTTAAAAAATCATTAAACTAACTGTCCATTAGCGATTAGTTTGAAATTAATATATATATTTTTTATGTTAGAACATTTTTTATTATCATGATATTCATCTATTTGGGTCATCAGACCTCCCCCATTCACTGAGCACGGTGGCTAGGTAACAAAAATAATTTCAGAATACCCCAGGAAGAAAACCACTCGAAAAGAGATGAATAACGACATTCAAAAGCAATAAGTCCAAAAGTAATCGTTACCGATCAAAGGAAACAAATAAAAAACTTACTATTTTTTTTTTTAGTTAATCCAACTTTAATTACCTTTTTGAGGTAAGTTGGCTCCCCGATATCTTTACAAGTTTTGACTCTCTGAGCCGGCTGCAAGACTAATCCGAAGTGCAGAGTGATATATTTAAACTTCTTCAAAATGTGGCATATGAGAATCAAATCGAAACATTTTTTTTTCACTTACTAAATTTTATCTTGTTACAATTAAACATACCATGAGAAAATAAATTAAAAATGTAACTTATTAATACAACATAGGGCTAAAATACATTTAACATAATACCCACATCAACTGATTAGTGTTACTTCAGCTTAATAAGTGGTCCAGACTTCGAGTCGTGAACAATGTATTAAAAATATGTCCTAACTAGATTAAAACTTACTAAGGTGGTGGCCAAATTGTATTTGAAACTGAAGACGGTATTTGATTGTATGTGGGAAATTGTTATGTATTTTTCCATATTTGCAGCTCTCCGGTAATTTCTCCCGGCAAAAAATTTTCTTTCCTCCTACATTAATTTGGTCCATTCTTTAAAGAGCCCAATTTGTCATTGTATTAGGCCTGGTCCATGATTATCATTATCTCTCTTAGTAAACGTGAGGCCCGCTAACATGTTAATGAAGAAGAAAATTTTGGACTCTCGTAAATAAGTAATCGTGCGTGGGGGCAGGGCATTGGCACTTCTAATACGCCGCCAATAACTCAACCTGGTAAAGCATGCTTCACTGTCAAGAGTCACCGGAGAACACGAAGCGCGCACCAGGGCACCCTGAAGTGGAATATTGAATTGGAAGCCAAGTGCCTTTAAATATTAACGAACAATGCTATCCATGGCCTTCGTCAAATCAAGGTTACGCTTGCACCACTCTCTTTTTCCACGCACTTTGAAATTATATTCTTCTTCTTCAGCTTTAGCTTCAGAAGCTCATCTTCAGCATGACACCAACGAGACTGCCCCTGCCAAAATCACTAATCTATCTCCCGAAGAAACCGATATAGCAGACAAGTTTCACGCTGTGATTAAAGATCACTACAGAAAAAACCCTAACCCTAACGCCACTCCACCCACACCCAATCTCACCATCTCCGATCTCTCCATTGATTTTTCCAAAATCTCCACCGTTCACGCGGTTTCCCCCTCCATTGCTCGCCGTGTGATCGAGAAATGCGGTGGGGTTCGCCATGGCATTCCCTTCCTCCAATCTCTGGCCTTTTTCAACTGGGCCACCGCACTCGACGGCTTCCCCTCCTCGCCGGAGCCCTACAATGAGATGATTGACCTTGCCGGAAAGCTAAGACAATTCGATTTAGCATGGCATTTGATCGATTTGATGAAAGCTCGTGGTGTTGAAATAACCGTTGGCACATTCTCTATTCTCGTCCGGCGCTATGTGAGAGCCGGATTGGCTGCGGAGGCTGTGCACGCATTCAATAGAATGGAGGATTATGGTTGCAATCCTGATAAGGTTGCATTTTCAATTGTGATTAGTAGCTTATGCAGGAAGAGAAGGGCAAGTGAAGCTCAATCATTTTTTGACAGTCTCAAGCATAGGTTTGAGCCCGATGTCATAGTGTACACTAGCTTAGTTCATGGGTGGTGCCGCGCCGGTAATATATCAAAGGCGGAGGAGGTGTTCAGGGATATGAAGATGGCTGGAATCAAGCCTAATGTTTATACTTATAGTATTGTGATTGACTCGCTGTGTAGATGCGGACAAATTACCCGTGCGCATGATGTTTTCTCGGAGATGATAGATGCTGGATGTGATCCTAATGCAGTTACTTTTAATAGTATGATGCGGGTTCATGTGAAGGCTGGTCGAACTGAGAAGGTCTTGCAAGTGTACAATCAAATGAAGAGACTCGGTTGTCCTGCTGATACAATTAGCTATAATTTCCTAATAGAGAGTCATTGTAGAGATGAGAATCTCGAAGAAGCTGTGAAAGTACTCAATTTGATGGTTAAGAAAGGGGTTGCCCCTAATGCATCCACTTTCAATTCAATTTTTGGATGCATAGCTAAGTTACATGATGTGAATGGTGCTCATCGGATGTATGCTAAAATGAAGGAACTGAAGTGCCAGCCCAATACGTTGACTTATAATATATTGATGAGAATGTTTGTTGAATCAAAATCTACTGATATGGTTCTGAAAATGAAAAAGGAAATGGATGAGAATGAAGTTGAACCTAATGTGAATACATACCAAGTTTTGATTTCATTGTTTTGTGAAATGGGGCACTGGAACAATGCCTACAAGTTTATGAAGGAGATGGTTGAAGAAAAATGCCTAAAACCAAATCTATCAGTTTACGAAATGGTTCTGCAGCAGTTGAGGAAGGCTGGACAGCTAAAAAAGCATGAAGAGTTGGTGGATAAGATGGTTGCCAGGGGATTTGTGTCTCGCCCTTTGTAGAAGTAGCTTCTTCTTCCCATCTTTAGAGCTTAATAAGTGAACTTCTAAGTAAGTATGACTATAAAATCGTAGTGTTACTTGCTAATTGCTATAAGTGACACACAAATGAGGGCTTTTTATTATAAAGTAATTGTGTGCCTTATTCTTTTTTATTAGAGGCTTGAATCGTTATTTATGTCCTAGTGTGGAGTTTTGGTTAAGGTCTTGGATGGAGTTCTTCTTTTAATTTGATTAACTTGATGGCCATCATTTATAACTTGATTTATGGCAGGCTCTTGAAGAAAATGGCGCAAATGTTGTTTGAAGCACTTCATTGAGCGTGTAATAGATATGTTGTGTTCTTGTTGCTGGGCAGGGTATTCAATTGAGCTCTTGTTCTCTGATTGCAAGTTTGTCAAACTCTTGAGGTGTTAAAGTCAATATGGGACGTCCATAACTGAGAATCTTTGAGGTTTAAACATTTGTTTCCTCACTCATTATCTCTACTGCCACTTGTATTTATTTTCTGAAATCCTAAATTTGCTCTAGAAGCCGTGGAGGTTTGACTGAAAGAAACAAGATAGCAGTATGTCCCTGTTGTTCATGGAGTTGCTAACATGTTGTGGCATATTCAAAAGAAACTGAGAAACTCTTCCATGTGGGAGGAGGTAATGCTATCAGTATGATGTGAACCAGGCCCCAACCCCTGCCCAAATTTAGTGCTGCTCATGTTTTTACCGGATTGATAAACTCATTTCTAATTTTGTGATAGCAAACTGCAAAAGCGCCTTGAAGCTAAGCAAGCTGCGATGTTAGCTGCTTGTGAGACTCCACTTGGCTGTTTATCCGGTTCACATTATCTTCTAGGCTGGCCAAGAAAATGTTTCTTGATTGTAATATGTTGGATTAGGTTGGACGACAGCTAAGTTCGATGTTTTCCTGGGATTCTGCAAGCTTTTTGCCTTTTTTTTTCAGTTCATATTTAATTTTTATTCCATTGGATATATGAGGGGACCAGCTATTCATAAGATGCGGGATGTGTCATGCCCATAAATATGGAACCTGTTGAATTAATAAGATTAAATTGCATTTGCATTTTTAATCCAACAACTTACATTTTAAAAGAGCGATTTTCCCATTAGAGCATGTGAGTTTATAAAACCATGTATATCTCACATTAGATAAGGAATTGTGTGTGGAAATGCATTATGCGTTGCGTGATTACTGTTTTGAAATTTTATGACCTGTGTCCTTTCAATCTGTTAGGAGGTTTTGGTTTGTTTAGGAAGAGGAAACCGTACTTGCCATAAAAAAGAATCAACAGCGCAAAACTCAATCCATCGTGTGGAAATCAAATGATATTTTTTACGGAGTTTTTTTTTTCTTTTTGGTGAAAATATCAGTTTGCAGAGTTGCTTCTCACTGATCTGTTATTCAAAGTGCTCATTGTAAAGTTCGACGAACGACGTGGAAGTCTGGCATTTACACGTGGAGATAAGAATGTTCAAAGTCACGTTGTGAGACTTGTTGACTTAAAAGGATATGCACGTGCTCAAACAGCTGTTAGTATGAATTCTTACAATATCAGGGAAGTAGATGAGAGCTTAAAGCAAGTAGGCCCTGCGCCCCCCAAGGAAGTTTGGTACTCATTTTAATTTGGACATCTTAATAAAACATGTCGTGTGCATGTATTTTATTAATAAAGCTCAACATATAAAATTCTGAAAAAAAAAAAAAAAACTAAATCATGGAGCTCGGCTCCTCAATTGAAATATTAATATTTTTTTTTTAGAGTTAACTCAATTCTAATTACCTTTTTCAGGTGAATTGGTTATCCCCGATATTCTCATAAATTTAGACTCTTTGAGTTGACTATGAGACTAATTCACTCTCAAAAATAATATATGAGAATCAAATCGAAGACCTTTTCTATTTCACTTACTCAAATTCCTTGCTGGTTATTAGCTCAGTTTGGTTGAAATATTAAAATTTAGCTACACTAGTAAGTCACCCGCAAGACCCATTCAACGGATTTCAACTTCGAACTATTTTGCTCCCAAAAATTTAGGCCCTGCCTTCTTCACTGCCAGTTGATGGGAGCCTGGTCCAACATTCAAAGAAAATGCAACTTGTAAATCATGATATCTACCTATTTTCATTATTGGGATTTATTGCACCCAAAAACATTTTGCAACACAGACAATAAACAAGAGAGAGAAAGTGAGATAAACATAGAGAAATACCTGGGAAAAATATTTTCTGAGATTTTGTTTATAATATCCATATTAAATATTTCTCACCCCACTTTCACATCATTCCATATCAAATACCTATACCAAACACTCTCTTAAGTTGACATTTCTATAACTTTATTATAAAAATATAAAATATTTTTCGTTCGACCCAAGGATGATGGATGGTTTGCTCTATTTCCCTGATAAGGAGGGATCAGCAAGAATTCTGACTTTATCTCTCAGTGTACAGTCCAAGGTAGGTAATGCAGAAACGTTGGATGTTAATTACCGATATTATTATCGTGAAGTTATAGGTGCCAATATCCAGAATACTCTTCATAACGAATTATTATGATACTGTTACATGTATCATACTTAACTATTAATTTTTAAACTTGGAGGTATAAAATTCATTAAAAGCACTTTATGTTTAATTTCACCTAAATCTAGAAATGGAATTATTCTCATACCACAAATAATTTTAAAACACTTTAGGATTTAGGAACCATCTCAAAATGATTTGAAATGACAAAAAAGTTATGCATAAAAGAGCAATGCAGTAAATTTAATGCCATAAAATATCTTTGTATTTAAAATCGATTATTATTTTATTGATTTATTATTAAGATATTTGTTTCGTATGAATTTCAAAAAGTTTCATTGCAATAATTTTATTTTGGTAAGTTAGAAAAAAAAAAAAAAGCAGCTAACGAATATAAAGGACTCCCAGAGTGTAACAGCAATGAAATAATTTCTTCGCGGAGAACATATATGCCAACCCGCAATGTCCAAGGACGAAGGGCGATCTCAATAATCTCTGCAGTGACAGTTGCATATACACGGAACTGGAGGACCCTATCAGAGGAGAGCGGGGACTGCTTCCAAAGGAATCACTCTCACACGTCATTCCCGCTAGCCTAACATTATAATAAAATTATGATTTTAGTAGAGTATTAGCTATCAGGCCTAGCATTATAATAAAATTATGATTTTAGTAGAGTATTACCTATTAAATATAGTGTAATTTATAAAAAAAAAATTGTAAACGAATCCTTATTTACGTATTAGTAATTCTTCTATAATTTTTTCACATTAGTTATAAAAAATTTAAATAATGAATATAAATCTTAAACGCGTCTCAAGTGTCAACAACCGGTAATTTAAAATCTTATTTCACTTTTTGCAAAAAAAAAAAAAAATCTTATTTCACGCATTTTCTTTTAAAATTCACGTTTTTGTATTGACTCTAGTCGTCTTATTTTACTAAAACATTTTATTCCTTTGTCTTATTTTATTTTAAAACGCACGCGTCACGTTCAATGATTAGATCAAAACTTAACAAGTCAGAAGTAGACGAAGTGCACAAAACGACCCCATAAAAGGTTATTCCGGAAATTGGAATAATTCTATGAAATTCTTAAATAAAACATATAGCTTGCTCTCAAAGTACTGAGGAAGAATCTTTCAAAAAAAAAAAAGTACTGGGGAAGAAAACAATATATCCCGCTGCATCAACTGCGACCTGTTTTTTATTTATTACCCAAAAAAATAAATGCCGCTAGCTAGCTGTTTCATATTTGTAATAAAGAATAAAGGATTATAGTTGTACCTAAAAAACTAGTAATAATTATTTCCAAAAAAAAAAAAAAAAAAACTAGTAATAATTGTAGATTTGTAGTTATGTTAAGCGACGAGTTTTTTTTCTGCCGAGTCACACCGTTTTTATTTGACCAAACCCATTCTCCGTTTCCCACCTTTCTTGAAAAAATCAAATAAATATATATTAACTCCCATCCCTATAGCATAACCTTTCTTAATTAAGAAGTTCTAGTTTCACCCTTTAACCTTCTTAAAAAAATCCAAGATATATATAAAGAGACTCCAACCGATTTAGAACATACAGAATATCAAATCCCAAACCTTTGCAAGCTTCTACTGATATCTCAGAACTCTTTGTGTAATGGAAAGGCATCTTAAGCTGAAGAACAAGATCTTGAAGATACTACCAAAAACAGTTTCAGCAATCACTGTGACATTTCAAAACCCTCCATTCAGCCCAGGTAGGGATCACAAATCAAGACCAGAGAACACAACCAGGTGGCTTAAGCCTCATGGCGGCAAGGGATTCTCTGGGCCTATCATATCCATGATTCCCGATGAAGCTAGAAGAAAGTCCAACGATGGCGGCAATGGCATCGAAAATCAAGAACCCACTTCACCAAAAATCTCGTGCATGGGACAGATCAAGCACAAGAAGAAACAGATCAAAAAAGCCAAGGCCAATAACAAGTCGCTGCCGAAAGAAGCGAGAAAGGTTGTTAGCAACGCTTCATCTTCCACTTCAAGAGACATAGTGGCAAAGAAGCGAGTGTCCACGTTTCAAAGGATGTTATTCCATGTGGCGAAGCCAAGATCTGCAGGGAGGAAATCTGATGCTTCTGCGACTCAGCCTAATAAGGACGAGTTTGCGGATAAAGCACCGCGTGTGAGTCAGATGAAGCGATTTGCAAGTGGACGTGATGCTTTGGCTAATTTTGATTGGAAGGTTCAGGTTGTTCAAGAGGGAATAGATTACTATTCGGATGAAGACAGAGTGGATAGTGATGATGCTGAAGAAGAGGATGTCATAATCCCTTTTTCTGCACCTATTTTGGTTGGTGGTGGTGTCGGTCATGGAGGTGAGCTTAATTTGAAGCCACGGAAAGAGATTAATCTTTGGAAGAGAAGAACCATGGCTCCTCCAAGGCCTCTTCAATTGGATGCCGTGATTTGAGCAAATCGATTACTTGCTCATTAAAATGAAGACTTATTCTTTTGGATTTTTTATTTTTTTTGTTTTCGTTAATTTATTGAAACATTTTGCTGTGCAGAACTACAGACAGATTTAGGTACAAACAAATGTAATTGGCGACATGGCGTGATAGGCATGTGTTTTATTGGTGTATAATTAAACTATATATGGTATTAAAATTACGATCTATATCAAAGCCCAGCCAAAAGTTAAGATATATATGTCACTCGGGAAACTCAAAAAAACGAAATTGAAAAACTTTCTTGTTCAAACTTAACTTCAAGGATCCACCATGTCATCGATCATTGCAGAATTGGTTGAATTCGAGATCGAATTTGGGAGCAACTGCCAACTAGGATGTAGTTGGTTGACATAGATAATTATGACATGTATAAAATATTAGAATAATTTTGACATTGTCAACTTAAAAGAATTAATCGGTTTAGTGTAACTTTTCCCAATATAGTTTAGATTTCTTGTGTCCACGCAATAAATACAGTAAATTAGTTTTACGTTCCAAATTGTATAAAAATAAAAAATATCAAAACTATTGAATAAACTGTACTTGAAAGTTGGAACCTATGTATGTTGCACCGACAGATACGATATCTCAACACATTAATTCAAATAACGATTCTGATGTCGACTGTCGACACATTAATTCAAATAACGATTCCAATGCCGACATGTTAAGAGTGTGCATGACAATCATTCTGTTTCTTGACACTATTTTTGAAAAAAATAATTATTCTCTATTTCTGTGCTATGAAACATCTTTTAAGAAAAAAAATTGTTTAATACCATGTTCTACTTTTATTTCAAGAATGAGAATTAAGTTTGAAAACACAACAAATAGTAGAAAAAAAATCATTCATATTTAGTATAATTTTTTTCCAAATCATCATTTTCCTTTTCATAGGTGTGGTGATAGCACACTGATGGTGGTAGTGATATCTAAGGTGGTGACGATGGCGGTGGTGGTAGTACGGCGGTGACAACGACAACGGCAGCGATGGTCGTATTGGGATGGTGGTGATGATGGTAGTGGTGGAGAGTGATTGAGAGAGACAGATACTTCTCATTATGTGCATGGGAACAAAAAAGCATAATTTATTTTACTCTTTTTTCTGTCCCAAGATAGAAATTGAATCAGTTCATTCTCGGGAACAAAAAAATAAAACGGTTTTGTCAAATACTATTTCTATTCATGGGAACGAAAATAAAAAATAAAAAAAATAATTATGGGAAGGTTGTCATGCACGTCCTAATTCTAAAATATGTTAGATTTTGACACATTTGGATACGTTTTGATATTAAATAATATTTTTAATATATAATATAGTTTACATTTAATACATATAGCAATTCATAATAAGTCATATAACCAACCAAATATTTAAATTCCATATCATAGATATAAAATAAAATAATTTTTCGTGACTTTTAATTTTTCATGTTAAATTTCATAGTAGAAAATATTTGATTTATAAATTAAATTTTCATGTGTAAAGAATCATTTCAACCCAAAAGCTTAAGCTGGTGGGTAAGGTTACATTAATGATTTTATATATCTCTGACATCATGATTAGTTAAAAAAATAAAATAGAATAAAAATTGGTTCTACATAAATGTTGACCGCATGTCGGAGCATTAATTGTGTGTCAAAAAATGTTGATCGCGTATCGGAACATTGACTGCATGTAAAAAAATATTAATCACATTCAAAACATGTCGGATTTTTCACCCAAAATGACATGTTTGTGCATCGGTGGTCGTCGTAATTGTGTGACTTTCTTTTCATATTAAAAAAAACCTTTATATTTAGGAGCGAGAAAAAGGACAAAAGAAAAATAATGCTTGGAAAAATAATCTTAACTTTTTTTTTAATAATAGGGAAAATACAGAAAATTAGTTCAAATTACACATTCTTGGGCAAGTTACACCCTGCAAGTCTCTATGTAAGAGGTGTCTACATTCCCTAGGAATTTCGTCATACAGCTGGACATCCCAAGAATGTAAGTCACTTCCCATATGAGCCATAGCATCAGCTACTGCATTCCCTTCACGAAAGGTGTGAGTGAAAAGAATGTCCCAAGTCCTACTTAACAGACTTCTGATATGATTGACCAAGGGGGCTAAAGGGTGACAGGGATCACAAAAATCCTGTATGAGAAGAATAGCCACTTTGGAATCAGACTCTACACAAACCTTCTTGAATCTCAGTTCCCAAGCCAACAGAATCCCCTGTAGAATGCCCCAGACCTCTGCTCTAAGAGATGAGCCCACTCCCAGTTTCTTGCAGTACCCCCGCAGCCATCTACTCGCATCGTCCCGGAGAACTCCTCCACAGCTATACACCTGACCTCCAAAGCTACTGGATCCATCCGTATTCAACTTCACCCAGTCCGCAACGGGGAAATTCCACTTGATAAAACGTTCCTCCCTTTCCGGTTTTTGCACTCCTTGGGTTACCAGTCTATCACGAGCAGCCATGAAATTAGAGCTGAAGATATGAGCCTGCCTAATCAAGGATTCCTGAGTTGCTACTTTGTTGTTGAAGATGTAATCGTTCCTAAACTTCCAGGTCAGCCAGCAGACAACACCAAAGAGAAGATACCAATGTTTATAGCCAAAAGTATGAGAATTCGACTGAAGATTATGTTGAAGCCACTGACGTTGTTGAAGATCAAAAAAGAGGGGAAGGTGTTCGCTGGGGAGAAGCCGAAGCCAAATACATCTGGTCCACGGGCAGTCTCTAAGCACATGCATGATGTCCTCTGGATGACGGCCACATCTAGTACAAAGATTACAAGTAGTTAAGTTCCTCCTTTCCCTATTGACATTTGTCATCAGATGATTGCCAAGAGCTCTCCAAATAAACATCTAAATTCTACTGGGCCCCTTCCATTTCCAAGGAAGCAGGTCGGTATCATTGGTATGAATTAAGGAATCGAAATCAATCATGGAGAAGGCTGATTTGACCGAGAAAACTCCATTACCTGACCCTGCCCAAGTGACTCGGTCATCCCCGTTAAAAGGAGAAGGGGGCAAAATACTAGCTAGACAGGTCAAAGACTGTGGGGATACATATTGTTCCAGAGAGTTCCAGTTCCAAGTTCCATCACCCTGGACACAGTCACCTACTGTCCACCTCCCTACTTCCTCAAGGATGACAACCGAATCCTTGGCCTTGACGAGCTCATTGCCTAAGATCCATTTATCCTCCCAAAATCTGGTCCTTTCCCCATTGCCAAACTGTATTGTCAAATCCTGCTTCACCTTAGGCCACACCTTCTGGATACCCCTCCATAAGTTGGAGGGTTGATTCGTTTTCCTGATTTCCGGGATTAAGTCATCCCCTATCTTGTATTTATTCCTTAAAGCCCTTACCCATAAGCTCTTCGTCTGGGTTAGCACACCATGGCCCACCTTCATAAGCATAGCTTGATTCATAAGTCTCAAAATAATAATAATAATAATAATAATAATAATCTTAACTTTGCAACCATTAATTTGTAACATTTTCCTTTATAAAATAATGAAAAAATAGATTTGTAATACCAGTAAAAACGTATTTACTAAAAAAAGAAAATAAAAAATAAATCAAACATATCTTGTTTTAATACATTTTTATTTTCAACCATGTATGAATTGTGAAACCTAATTACCCCTTTTTTTAACTTATTTTTTCAACACTTTGTGTAACAATGAGAAGGATGGCATAAATAGTTTTGCAATTCAAACTAAAGGTTTGTTTATTATAAGTAAATTAATAAATAAATATAAATAATACACGCGCTGCGCGCGCATATATGTGCATATATATATTGGAGAAAAAATAATAATAAACCGCTAAAAAAATTTTGACTTAGTTGACACAAGTGGATTCCTTGACAAAGACCAATTATAAGGACCATGTTAGAATTATATAAAAAGAAGAACGAAATTGTATTGATAATGTTGAGATAAGACTGATACCATTGATGGTGTATGGAAATTTCAATAGAAGAAGAGAAATAAAGTCAAGAGCAAGCTTGTTAAAATTGAATTTTTAAGTAAAATTAGAAGGGACTAAAAAATCATAAAAAATAAAATCATAATATAAAAAATCGTAAACAGATAAAAGTATTTGGAATATTGGTAAAATTATTTTGATAAAAATATCATAAAAATATAAAATCATACTGTTAAATCGAGATTTTAACAATCATGGTCAAGAGACCTGTACTCTCTCACTGCTACCTCATTTTTGGCTTCGTACTTCGCTTCTGCACTCCCTCCTATCTCTTTTTATGTACACAAATCCCTTAATAATATTTCTATTTTTTTAAATTATTTAAACTTTAAATTTAATATTCAGTATTTACAAATAATTACAGATGAATTCAATATTTTTTTATGTTAATGTGTGCCTATTTTTATAATTATATATAATTAGGTAAAGCAGTATTATGACTTTTGGTTCAAGTCGAATACAAAACAAGAAGAAAGTAAAATTGCTCAAGCTGAGTATTTAATATATATATATATATATGATAAAATTATTTCTGCAGTCGCTTTACGTACAGCAACGACAGGTATATGGTTATGATTCTCCACATTTAATGCTTTCATCCGGTTATGATTCTCCGCATTTAATGCTTTCAAATATATATATATATGACAAGTATTTGATTGCTGCACGTACAGCCATAGTTGTTAAAATCTCGATTTATCACTACGATTTTACGTTTTTATGATTTTTTTCTTCAAAACGATTTTATCAATATTCCAAACGCTTTTACGTCTTTAAGATTTTTTACATTACGATTTTACGTTTTATGATTTTTTAATTCCTTTTTCGATTTTACTTAAAATTTTGATTTTAACAACATTGCGTACAGCAGAAATGTAAAGCCATATATATATATATATATATATATATATATATATATATATATATATGAATTTCTTCAAGCTTTGAATGATTTAATTTCTTAAAAATTTATTTATCAGTCAATAATTAACAAGTCGATCGAGTTATTAGCTAAACTTGTTGGCCGGTGCCTAGTCGTTTATCTCGAGTCCTACTCATGCCAGCTGCTGCAATTAATTACCAATTTGTACACTCTTCACAGTTGGACGCAGAA